AAAAAAAAATCAGCTAGGCGTGGTAGCGCATGCCTGTAATTCCGGTTACTTGGAAGGCTGAGGCGGAAGGATCGCCAGAGCCCAGCAGGTTGAGTGAGACTTCAACACAAAACAAAACAAAACAAAACAAAACAAAAATCGTGCAGAGTCAAGCAAAATATTCTGCATATTAAGAGGTAAATGTTTAGCTGGGCTCAGTGGCTCAGCCTGTAATCCCGCGCCTTGGGAGGTTGAGGTAAGTGAACTGCCTGAGCCCGCGGGTTCGAGACCCACCTGGGCAACTTGGCGAGGCCTCATCTCTACAATGAATCAAAAAATTAGCTGGGTGTGGTAGCACACGCCTGTAGTTCCGGCTACTTGGAAGACTGAGCTGGAAGGATCGCCAGAGCCCAGCAGGTTGAGGCTGCGGTGGCCGGGAGTGGCCACTGCACTCCAGTCTGGGCGACAGAGTGAGACTCCAACTCAAAAAAAATCATGCATCTAAGTGCTACATTACAGAATGTCCAGGGATCTATGGGGTCCCAGAACTCCAGCTGAAGGACAGGTAGACTCTCAGAGGAACTGCTATCCATAAGAGGACCTGAAGGCTGAGCAGGCATCAGCACAAAAAGTAGGATGTGGAGGAAGGGTGTTCTGAGTCTACAGAAAGTGCATGCAGAGGCCCAGAGGCAAGAGACAGCAGGTATGAGACAAAAGGAAGGAGTTCCAGGTGGGTTGGAATGTAGCCTACAGAGAAGGCAGGGCCAGAAGCGAACAGCACACAGTAGAGCTGCAAAGGGCAGCAGGGGTCAAATCATGCAGGGTTTTGTAAACCATGTGAAAAAGTCTGAACTTGGTCAGGCACTAAAAGATCTTCTTTCTTTTTTTTTGAGTTGAATTTTCACTCTGTCGCCCAGACTGGAGTGCAGTGGCATGCTCATGGCCACCACAGGCTTGACCTGCCGGACTCAGGCGATACTTCTGCCTCAGTCTTACAAGTAGCTGGAAATACAGGCATGTGCCACCATGCCCGGCTAATTTATTTATTTATTTATTTTTATTGTAGACATGAGGTCTTGCCATGTTGTTCAGGCTGGTCTTGAACCCCTGAGCTCAGGGAATCTCACCTCAGCCTCTCAAAGTGCTGGAATTATAGGCTTGGGTCACCGTGCCCGACCACTGAAAAGTTTTCAACCAGGAGTCATGTGATCAGTTGTGCATTTTTGGAAGATCACTCTGGCTGCAATTTGGACAGTTATGTGAACTTACAGGTGACTTTTCATGCTTCCTGAACTTCGGTTTTGTCATCTGTAAAGTGAGGATAGTCTGGAACTACTGCTATTAGAGATGGATGCTGGAAACTTAGAGGTCTCAGGGATTCTTTGGGGATGTATGAAGAGTTGGTGAAGCCAGGACTAAACTGACTTCCACAGGCCCTAGCTAGTTTCCTGTCCTGCTAGATTCCTCTTGTGAACTGACTCAAAATTCAGCTTTGAGAGAAAGCACTCGCTAGGATTTCTTCCTACCAATTTACTCAGGAAAAGATTCCCAAACGTGGAGCCGGGGCTGTCCCCGCCCAGGATAAGTAGTTTGTGGTGGGGAGGGCTGCTTGATTCTGAGCCTGGCCCCATTCCAGAAAGGTACTGAGGAAAAGATACCAGAGTGGTCTGACTCACCCTCTCACAGAAATACTGGCTGCCTGGGCTTCCTTTAAGACCACTTCAAACTGCTGCAAACTCTCCTCGATGGAACAGTTGATATTCTTCCTGGTGAAGAGCTCTGAGGCAGCACCAAAGACGGAGACTTCTTTAGCTCCAGCTGCAACCTGCCAACATCCAGTTAACTCCTTTTAGCAGTTTTCTCTTCAAAGGACACTGACACAGAGTGGCAAAAAACTTGTCTTATGGTATATTTTATGGTATGTGAATGTTATGGGTTGAATTGTGTCCCCCCTAAAAAGATATGCTGAAGTGCTAATGCCCAGTACCTCTGAATAAGACCTCATTTGGAAACAGGGTCACTGCAGAAGTAATTAGTTAAGATGAAGCTGTAGAATGGTTTGGGCTTCTAATCCAGTACAATTGGTGTCCTTAAAGATGGCCAAAGCCGGGCTCGGTGGCTCAGCCTGTAATCCCGTGCCTTTGGGAGGATGAGGTGAGTGGATTGCCTGAGCCCGCGGGTTCGAGACCCGTCTGGGCAGCGAGACCTCATCTCTACAATAAATCAAAAAATCAGCTGGGCATGGTCGCGCATGCCTGTAATTCCGGCTACTGGGAAGGCTGAGGCGGAAGGATTGCCAGAGCCCAGCAGGTCGAGGCTGCGGTGGCCAGAAGCGGCCACTGCACTCCAGTCTGGGCGATAGTGAGACTCCAACTCAAAACAAAAAACAAACAAACAAAACCAAAAAAAACCATACCATTGCTATTTAACACAGTACTGGAATCTTAGCTAGAGTAATCGGCAAGGGAACAAAATAGGAGGTATCCAGATAGTTAAAGAAGAAGTTATAGTATCCTTTTTCACAGATGATACGATTCTATACCTAGAAAATCCAAAGATTCCACCAAAAAACTCCTAGCACTGATAAATGACTCCAGTAAAGTCTCAGGATACAAAAATTAATGCTCAAAAGTCAATTGCATTTCTATACGCACAAGAAGTAGGCTAAGAACCAAATCAGAAACACAATCCCATTCACAATAGACACACACACACACACACACACACACACACAAATACCTCGCAACACATCTAACCAAAAAGTGAAAGATCTCTACAATAAAAACTACAAAATGTTGCTGAAGGAAATCAAAGATGACACAAATGGAAAAATAACCCATATTCATGGATTAGAAGAATCAGTACCGTTAAAATGTCCATACTGCTCAAAGCAACCTACAGATTCAATGCAATCCCCATCAAACTACCAGTAACATTTTTCACAGATCCTGAAAAGACAACACTTACATTCAACTGGAAGCAAAAAAGAGCTTGGATAGCTAAAACAATCCTAAGCAAAAAGAACAAAGTTGGAGGCATCACACTGCCAGATTTCAAATTTTACCACAAGGCTATAGTAACCAAAACAGCATGGTACTAGTACAAAAAAAGACACAAACACAAATGGAACAGAATAGAGAACTCAGAAATAAAACCACTAACCTACAACCAAGTCATCTTTGACAAAACTGACAAAAACAAACATTGGGGAAAGGACACCTTGTTCGATAAATGGTGCTGGGAAAACTGGATAACTATATGAAGAAGAATGAAGCTGAATCCATTCCTTCCACCATATATAAAATTAACTCAAAATGGATTAAAGACTTAAACACAAGTCCCCAAACTATAAAAATCCTAGAAGAAGCTTGGCGTGGTGGCTCATACCTGTAATCCCAGCACTTTGGGAGGTGGGGGTGAGAGGATTGCCTAAGTCGAGGGGTTCAAGACCAGCCTGGGTAACTTGGTGAGTCCTTGTCTATATAATAAATCAAAAAATTAGCTGGGTGTGGAGGTGCACACCTGTAGTTCTAACTACTTGAAAGCCTGAGGCAGAAGGATCACCTGAGTTCAGGAGGTCAAGGCTGCAAGAGTCATGACCATGCCACTGTACTCCAGCTTGGGCAACAGAGTAAGACTCTGACTCAAAAGAAAGAAAGAAATAGGCCAGGTTCAGTGGCTCAGCCTCTAATCCCAGCATTTTGGGAGGCCAAGGCGAGTGGATTACCTGAGCCCGCAGGTTCAAGACCAGCCCGGGCAACTTGGCAAGACCTCGTTTCTACAATAAATCAAACATTAGCTGGGTGTGGTAGTACGTGCCTGTAGTTCCGGCTACTTGGAAGTCTGAGGTGGAAGGACCGCTGGAGCCCAGCAGGTCGAGGCTGCGGTGGCTGTGAGCATGCCACTGCACTCCAGCCTGTGCAACAGAGTGAGACTCTGACTAAAAAAAAAAAAAAAAAAAAACCAGGTGTGGTGGCGCACACCTGTGGTTTCAGTTACTTGGAAGACTGAGGCAGAATGATCACCTGAGGCCAGCAGGTCGAGGCTGCAGTGGCTGGGAACGTGGCACTGAACTCCGGTCTGGGCAACAGAGTGAGACTCCAACTCAAAAATAAAGAAAGAAAGAAAGAAAGAAAAATTGGCCAGGCATGGCAGCGCATGCCTGTAGTTCCAGCTACTTGAAAGGCTGAGGTGGGAAGATCTTCTGAGTCCAGCAGGTCGAGGCTGCAGTGGCCGTAAGCATGCCATTGCACTCCAGCCTGGGCACAGAGTGAGACTCAGACTCAGGGGAAAAAAAAAAAATTAAGCCCAAGCCTCATCATCATGCACAGACCTATGTAACAAACCTGCACATGTACCCCTTGAATTTAAAATAAAATTAAAACAAACAAACTTTGACTTCCCCAAGGAAACTACCACCACCACTGCCACCACCACCCTGGAAGTCCCTCCTAAAAGAAGCTTTTTGTCTAAATGCAGAACCAACATCTCCAATGAAGTTCTTTTTTTTTTTTTGAGTTGGAGTCTCACTCTGTCGCCCAGACTGGAGTGCAGTGGCTGCTTCTGGCCACCATAGCCTCGACCTGCTGGGCTCCGGTGATCCTTCTGCCTTAGCATTCCAAGTAGCCGGAATTACAGGCATGCGCTACCACGCCTGGCTGATTTTTTGTTTTATTGTAGAGATGGGGTCTTGCTGCCCAGGCGGGTCTCGAACCCGCGGGCTCAGGCAATCCACTCACCTCAGCCTCCCAAAGGCACGAGATTACAGGCTGAGCCACCGAGCCCAGCTTCCAATGATGTTCTTGTGAAATTATAGGAAAGTTGGCAGATGCTAAAAGCTATTGTTGAAACCCTTATGGAGAGCTTGGTCACCTTTCTCTCAAGATGTAGGAATAACAAGAGCTAACATTTTTAGCACTTTTCTCTTATTTTTTTTTTGAGTTGGAGTCTCACTCTGTCGCCCAGGCTGGAGTGCAATGGCTCGTTCACAGCCACCATAGCCTCAACCTGCTGGGCTCAGGCGATCCTCCTGCCTCAGCCTTCCTAGTAGCCGGAACCACAGGTGCAAGCCACTGTGCCCGGCTAATTTTTCTTGATTTGTTGTAGAGATGAGGTCTTGCCAAGTTACCCAGGCTGGTCTCAAACCCGTGGGCTCAGGCAGTCGTCTCACTTCGGCCTCCCAAAGTGCTGAAATTATAGGCATGAGCCACTGCACACGGCCTAGCATTTCTCTTACATCAGTCTTGCTAAGCAATGTATATGCAGCCTATCTTTTGAAGTCCTCATATCTTTTGGTATCATCATTAGCCCTATTTTATAGGCAAAATATGAGGTTCAGAGAGATTAAGTAACTTGTAAGGATCATAGAGTGGTGAGTGGCAGGGTCAGGTCTGCTCCTGAGTTGGGCTGACAGATAAGATGTTCAGATGGACATTCCAGGACAGGGGACTGAGGCAAGACAAGCCAGGGACCAGTGCCATCAATCTCATTTCAGAAGCCCCCACCAACAAGCTGTCCTCTTACCGCTGCCTTAAAGCCTTTCATATTTGGGGTCAGGACGGGGTAACTGATGCCAGGAAACTTCTGAATGCCCTTCAAGACTTCAGTGTGGTCAGCCATCTAGGAGCCAAAGGAGATATTGCCAAGCCATCATCAGGAGCAGGCCTATAGCTCAGTTAGAGAAAATCTTTTAATTATAAAATCTCTGTTCTCCCAAGCCTCTGGAGGATGATTCCTTCTGCAGAGTCAAATGTCCCCGAGGCATTTACTATCTGACTGCTGATGGACCAGAAGGGGCCATGGATGATAGCTCCAATTTCTCCATATGGCCCATACTGTCAGCTTTACATAAGCAGCAACAGCAGTAATACACTATCAGCCATTGACTGAGGATGTACGCTGAGCCAGGCACTGGGCTCGGCTTCTCTGTGTCATCTAACACTCATTTTGTAACAGGCTCTTTCTTCCCCACTTGACTGTCTCTGTGAAGCAGGGGCCATCAGTCTTCCTCTTTTATAAATGCAGAAAACTCAGGCAGACATACAGATTATAGACTTTTAGAGCCAGAGGAGACCTGAGAAGTCATCTCTAACCTAGAGAGGGGAAAGGCCCTGAGCAAGTCAGGCAGAGCCAAGACTGACCACAAGGCTCCTGACTTCTAGGCCATTCTCTTCCTGCACCACAGTGCTATGAGTTGCCTGAGGCCTCTCAAAGCCAGAAACCTGGAAATCTATGTTCTGGACTTCTACTTGCTTCAAGAGCAAATGCAAAGCTTTTCATCCCTTGAGAAAGGCCTCTCACTGAGGGCTGGGGCTCACCTGAGGAACCCACTTGGGAGACACAAAGCTGGTGGCTTCTATCACGGGGAGTCCTGCTTCAGAAAGCATGTTTATCAGCTTGACTTTCACTGGAGTCGGTATGATATTCTATAGTGGAGAGAGAAACACCAAAGAAGACAAGTCAGCAAAATTGATAATAAAATGGCCTCAAAATGCAGAGCCTATTAGCACAAAGCTTTTGTTACAGCAAGCATTTCACTATCTCAATTTCCAAACACTACCATAAATTCACAAATAATCCCCACTGATAGATGGGGTAAAGGCTTGTCTTCAAGTTCTACAGATAGTGCTTTACAGCAGATGTAGCTTCTCACCTGAAAAAAACATAATATTTACATGGAACAAACATTTTTTGGTCCTGCAGACTTTCCCTTAAGTAAATATGTGCTAGTTTATGACCTCATGTGGTTATTTAAATTTGAATTAAGTAAAATTACATAAAAATAAAAATTCAGTTCCTCAGCCATACTAGTCACATTTCAATTGCTCAAGAGCCACATAAACAAATTCAGAGCAAGGTACAATGGCCTGAAAGGGCTGAGATGACTTGACACTTGGGTCCTATAGAATGGGGGCCCCAGACTATCACACCCTCCCCTTTTCTGTCTCCCCACTGGCATCAGACTTCATCCACTGCATATAGCTTCTTTTTCTCCCTTTCCCACCAAGTCTAGCAACTCACCAGACTTTATGGATTCCTCTTTCTAAATCTACCATCATTATCCTGTGAATAATATGGCATGATCTCACTCCACTAATTCATCCTACACAGGAATTCTCCTAAAACTCAGCCTCCAATGTCTCACTCTCTTGCTCCATAGCCTCCTAATACCTGCAGGATTAGGTAAAAAATTCTAAGAACTCCAGGTCCTTCTCACTAGGTCCTCCCACCCCAACTCCCTTTCACAATTTCTCTCCCACAGATTTAACTTAGTCTATTCCACAAGTAATTTTTGAAAACTTTCCATGCTCCAGACATTGTATTAGGTGCTATGGGTGCAGAGATAGGCAGAGCAGACAGGATTCTGCCCTTGTGGAATTTAGACTATTGTTTTCAACATGCACTCATTATTGAAGATAGAATGGTTATTTAAAAAAAAAAAAAGTTTTTTTATAACTGAAGAAATAATTAATACATGATTATTTCAGAAAAACATGCCAAAAACAAAAGAAAACTACTCTTAGAACCTCCCAGTGATAACACTGCTAATACCCTGGTATGTAACCTTCTCAATCTATGTCACTAGTACATGTGGTTATTTAAATTTGAATTAATTAAAATTACATAAAAATAAAAATTCAGTTCCTCAGCCATACTAGTCACATTCCAACTTCTCAAGAGCCACATGAGTCTAGTGGCCACCAAATGGAAAAGCTCAGGTGTAGGATATTTCTTCTTCATAGAAAGTTCTATGGGACGGTGCTATCTAGACACTATTCCAGGTAGATGCTCCTGCACATATACAAACTTTTTAGTTCCTTACACAATTGTAAGGTTTATATGTATTTATATATATAGTAATATTTACATGAAACCAACATTATATATAATCACATACATTACTTAATAACTTGCTTGAATCACTTAATATATACCTATATTATTATTATTATTATTTTTTTGAGTCTCACCCTGTTACCCAGGCTGGAGGGCAGTGGCATGCTCACGGCCACCGCAGCCTCAACTTGCTGGGCTCAGGCGAGTCTTCTTTCTCAGTCTTCTAAGTAGCTGGAACTACAGGCGCGTGCTACCACGCCCTGCTAATTTTTTGATTTATTGTAGAGATGAGGTCTTGCCAAGTTGCACGGGCTGGTCTTGAACCCCCGGGTTTAGGCAATCCTCTCACCTTGGCCTCCCAAAATGCTGGGATTACAAACCTGAGCCACCGTGCCTGGCCAATATATACCTATATCATTAATGGCTTCATGATATTTCATTTTATACAAAATCCATAATGCATTTGACCCAACCTTCCCCATACTGAACATCAAGGTTTTCAACTTCTCCGCTCTTCCCAACAGGTTCATAAGGAACGTCCCCAAGGTTAACTCTCTGTTCTTGGCAGTCATGTCTTGCTTTAGATAAATCCCCTCATATGGAATTGATGGGCCGAAAGACATGCCCTCACTTTCACTCTATACCATCCACCCCACCCCACTGGGCTATGGACACAGTGACACCATATGTGTTATACCACTTTTTACTTATGCATGTATTTCTTTTAATAAAACAGGGTCTCACTATGTCACCCAGGCTAGTCTCAAACTGTTAGGCTCAAGTGATGCCCCACTATTTTATTTTATATTATTTTGAGTTGGAGTCTCACTCAGTTGCCCAGGTTGGAGTGCAGTGGCACACTCACAGTCACCCCAAGTGTCAACTCGCTGGGCTCCAGCAATCCTTCCGCCTCAGCCTTTCAAGTAGCTGGAGCTACAGACACACGCTACCATGCTAATTTTTTTATTTATTATAGAGATGAGGTCTCACCATGTTGCCCAGGCTGGTCTTAAACCTGTGGGCTCAGGCAATCTTCTCACCTTGGCCTCCCAAAGTGCTGGGATTATAGGCTTGAGCCACTGTGCCCAGCCTACTCCACGATTTTAGATGTGTCACAGGTGCCTGCGTGGCCTCTCGACTCTGCCTTACGTGGGCAGAGTGCGCAAGTCTTGTATAACTCTGTCCATTCTCATGGCGCCTACCACATAGAACACTCAAAACAGATGCTTGAGAAATCCTTTTTCTGGTTAATTTTCAACTTTACCTTTTCATTTTGTAGTCCATCTCGGGGACCAACTTCCACAATTTTTACATGCTTTGGGAAAGTGTCCGTAGATGAAGTGCTGACCTTTGGTTTCAAAGAGAAACAAAAAATAACAGGAAGAGATTGTCACAACGCCCCAGGTACCAATCCGAAAGAACTGATCCATCTCCACTAATAATGAAGCAAGAAGCAATATTTCTCATTACTTAATTCACATTGGATTTGTTTTAGAACTAAAAACAGAAAGAATATTTCACTTAGGAACAGGAATAAGCAAGAGATTCAAGCTCTGTTACAAGTTCTTCCCTGAAACCCAAACTCTTCCCACTGCCTGCCTGAAAGACCTATTTGCTCTTCTTTAGCTCAGCAATCCCAAAACAGAACTCCTACTTTTCCCAAAGTCCACTTGATTCCTTCCCATCTCTCTTCATAACTGGGTCACTCAGCACAAGTCCCTTTCCTCCCACAGCAGGGCTTCCCTTCATCCAGAAGACTCCTCATATACCTCCATCTCATCTTTCAGTTGCTGAGAGGCCTCCTTTGACTATCTTTTGCAAAGCTGCCTAGGCTTTCACCCCCATTCTTTTCTTGTTGAGACAGGGTCTCACTCTGTCACCCAGGCTGGAGTGTAGTGGCATGATCATAGCTCACTGTAAACTCCTGGGCTCAATGGATCTTCCCACCTCAGCCTCCTGAGTAGCTGGGACTACAGATACATGACACCACGCCCAGCTACTTTTAACATTTTTAATGTAGAGATGGAGTCTCACTATTTGCCCAGGCTGTCTCGAACTCCTGGCCTCAAGTGATCCTTCCACCTTGGTCTCCCAAAGTGCTGAGATTATAGGCATGAACCACATGCCTGGTCATTCCCATTATTTTCTACTTCAGGCTCTAATTATTTTCTTCAAAGCACTGCATCCACACAAGTATTGCAGTTCCTTACACAACTGTAAGGTTTATGTATATATTCATATATATATAGTAATATTTACATGGAACCAACATTATATATATATACACACACACACTACTTAATAACTTGCTTGAATCACTTAATATATACCTATATTATTATTATTATTATTTTTTGAGTTGGAGTCTCACTCTGTGAGACTCTACAGTGTCCTAAGGTATGGTGCACCCACATCAATCCTGACTAAAGCCATAGACATCAGTTCCCCAAGGCAGGGACTATCATTATCCCAACTCCATAAAGGAAGAAACTGAGCCTTAGAATGATTACCCAAAATCACACAGCTAGAAAGTGCTAGAACTTGGATTTGAACCCAAGTTTGGTTCTGACAGTAAACCTATGCTAGTAACCCCAAGGAGGACCATCTCATTACACCAGGAATTTTTTTCAAAGCACATTAATATCCACCATCTCATTTAATTTTCTTAATGTGCCTAATTGGAATTACTATCTTCATTTTATACATGAGTAATTGGTGGAGATAGGTGGCCTAGTAAAGAAAGACATTAAAGTGGCTTTCTGAGAGGGACGCACTGTAAGGAGAGTGTAATTTCCTCCCACCATACAGTTATATTGCCTCCCCCATAGTTATAACTCTCTAAATGCTCTCAGGTAAAAATACCACCACTGATTATCACTTATTAAAAGTCAAAACAAGCCGGGCTCGGTTGCTCAGACTGTAATCCCGCGCTTTGGGAGGCTTAGGTGAGTGGATTGCCTGAGCCCGCGGGTTGGAGACCCACCTGGGCAACTTGGGGAGATCTCATCTCTACAATAAATCAAAAATCAGCCGGGCGTGGTAGCGCGTTCCTGTAATTCCGGCTACTCGGAAGGCTGAGACGGAAGGATCGCCGGATCCCAGCAGGTCGAGGCTGCAG